CAATGGATTAGTTGACAACATATCATGCCAATATAGATTGTCATGGAAAGATGGTTACTTTTAATATTCCCAATGACAAGGCCTTCAAATTCAAAGGGATTAGCGAGTCCCAAAATTCATGTCTTGTATCTTGCATTCAAGCTCAACGATTACTTGAGAAGGGATGTGCAGAGTATTTGACTTACGTAGTGGAGAATAAAAGTAGAAAAGTCAATCTATAACAGATACCAGTGGTGAAAGAACTTTCTGATATTTTTTCAGAAGATCTTTCAAGTTTACTAGCAGACCGGGAGGTCGAGTTCTTCATTGACTTAATTCCTGGAACGAATCCTATCTCTAAGGCTCCATATCGAATAGTGAAAGCTGAATTAGAGGAACTCAAGAAACAATTGTAGGAATTATTGGATAAGGGTTTCATCAGATCAAATGTATCACCATGGGGAGCTCCAGCACTATTTGTGAATAAGAAGGATGGTAACATGCGACTCTGTAATCGACTATAAGCAACTAAACCAAGTTACCATAAAGAATAAGTATTTGTTGCCTCGTATCGATGATCTATTTGACAAACTTCAAGGAGCCCAACTACTTTCAAAGATTGATCTACATTCTAGATACCATCAATTAAAAATTAAGAAAGAAGATATTCCTAAAACTGCCTTCAGAACTAGGTATGACCACTATGAATTCTTAGTCATGCCTTTTGATCTAACAAATGCTCCTGCAACATTTATTGATTTGACGAACAGAGTCTTATAGCCATTCTTGGATAAGTTTGTCATCGTCTTCATCGATGATATATTGATTTATTCACGGAAGGAGACTGAACATATGAAGCATTTGACAATAATACTTGGGATACTTAGGAAAAAGAAGTTGCATGCCAAGTTTAAAAATGTGAATTTTGATTAAATAAGGTTGTTTTCCTTGAACGTATATTTTCAAAGGACAGGATATCAGTAGATCCAGTTAAAGTAGAAGTAGTAATAAACTGGAAAACGCCTATAACGGTAATCAAAGTCCGAAGTTTTTTCGGTCTAACTGGATACTACAGGAAGTTTATTGAAAACTTTTCAAAGATTGCTACTCCACTAACTCAGCTCATTACAAAGGATACAGAGTTTGAATGGAATGAAAAGTGTGAACAAAGTTTTCAAGAACTAAAAAAATGGTTGACAATAGCTCCAATATTGACTATTCTTAATGGTACTGGTGGATTCTCTATCTATAGTGATGTTTCAAAGCAAGGGATCGAGCAAACGGCCCTGAACATTGTTCACCTGATCCATCATAGCTACTATAGTATTCATTACCACGGTCAGATCTAATAGCCTAATTTTTTTTTTATCGAGTTGGTTCTCAATTTCTGCTTTAAAACACTTGAACTCATCTAGGGACTGGAACTTCTCACGAATAAGATATAGACAACCATATCTAGAATAACGTTATGAAATATTGTTGACCATTTCAAAAAGCTGTAGAAAACAGTTCACAAATATATATATATATATATATAAATGAGTTCTAATACGTCCATAGCCCTGTTGGTACCTAATCTCTTAATGTTTGTCTGTTTTTCCTTGATACAATGGACACATCTGTCAAAATTTGTAAAATCAAAGAGATCTAGAATTCCATCTAATACAAGTCTCTTAATTCTTTTTTAGGAAATGTGACCTAATCTCTTGTGTCATAATGAAGCAGAATTCTCCTTGGTTAATTTTTCCTTATACCTCTTGTACCAACATGCAAGAATTCATTATAAGAAGCAATTGTATCAAACAAATAAAGATTATCATGCACTGATAAAGAATTAGAACCAACTAGATTTGAATTAAGAAAAAAGAGTAAATTTTTTATTTCTAAATGAACATGAATAACTAAATTTGTCCAATACAAAAATAGAAATCACAGTTCATCTAAATAACGGTACAATAAAAATCTCTTCTAAATTCAAATAAAATCCAGTCCTTAACTGCAATCTAAACTTGCTAATTGCTTCCACCTCAATTGGTTTGCCATTACCCACATAAATGAATTTGGCACCATCACTTAGCTTGCGGCAATGGAGGCAACCCTGCATAGACACATTAATGTGAGTTATGGCACCATAATCCATCCACCAAGTGTGTATAAGTACAAAAGTTAAATTAACCTTAGAACAAACAAAATTAATAATCATACATTTCTTTGCGTGCCATGCATGATAGTTTGCGCATTGCTTCTTCTGATGTCCCAGAGATTTATAGGAGAAGCTAACATTTATTGTCTGAACCTTCTGTTGTTTCTTCTATTGTACTAGAACTACAACAAAATTACCTGGAGATCACCATGAAATGAACACTCTCTCTCTTGTCAGACTTAAGCCTTTCCTTCTCTTGAACACAATGTGAAATGAGTTTATTCATATTTCAGGATTCTTTCTGATAATTGTATGTCAACTTAAAATGATTGAACCGTGGTGGAAAAGAAATCAAAACAAAATACACAAGTACTTTTTCTAACAATTCTACTCTAAGTGTTATGAGCTTTGCATGCACATATGACATCTCTATTGTGTGCTATCTGATGTTTCTATTTCCTTTATACCTCATAGAAATAAGAGTTGACAAAAGTATACATGTCTCAGTCTTATCACTTCTGGCAAAACTTTGTTCTAGAGAATAAAGTAAATCTCTAACTGTTATGATCTTATCGGACATAGTGCCCAAAAAAATCTCTAGAATGGCTTATTCCATAACCAACATACTCATACGGTGTCTTATCACTTTTAGCAAAACATTGTTATAGAGAATGAAGCAAATCTCTAACTGTTGTGATCTCATTGGACATAGTGCCCCAAAAAATGTCTAGAATGGCTTATTCCATAACCAACATACTCATATGGTTTGACCAATCCTATCTTTCAAATTCTTTCTTTTTTTCAGGGGTACTGGCAGAAGTAATCGGATTGAGTTGATCAACCCGTAGAGCCCAATCCAAATTCATAACTCTAAGAAAAAATCGAACACTATTTTCCATTGCTTGAAGTTTGTTATATTCAACATTAGGATAGAATTAACATTCGCAGTGGTACTTCTAGTAGAAAAGAAAGTTGAACAGATAACGTACAAAAAATAAATAAATTAATGATCACATAAAACTGTAAATCATAAAATTTAATAATAAATTTTAAATAAAAGTATATTTTCATCTCAAGATACCAAGCACTCCATTAACACTCTATTTTTGAACAAAATATTAACTTATAAGTGGCAGTTTATAACAGTAATTAAATATAGATAGTAGGAATACGTTAAAAAATAAACATTCATTGAGGCCGATTTAAAATTCACATATTATACTAAATAACTATCATGTATTTATTACCATAAAAATGAAATATAATAATAATATTAAATATTAACATTTCTTTGGGCCGATTAACATTTATATAAATTATATTCATATAACTGTTTATATTATAAAATAAATAAATTATTTACAAAGAATGTCACTTTGGTAATATGTTGTATAAATTAATTTATTTCAATATATATATATATATACCAATATTAAAATTCAAAATTAAAACTAAATATATTATACTAACATGTCCTTGAAAAAAAATCATTCTATCCCGACAATTATTTTCTTTTTTCTAACTTCTACTATTATAAATTAACTCTGTGGAAATCCTATTTATTCTAGAAATGCCAAGTAAATCAAAATCGGAAGGCACTAGAATTTTTTTTTTTTTTTGGTTGGAAACATATAAGGTAATTGGATATAAAGAAAAAGCAGTTAATAGGTAAAATAGGAAATTTATTTCATATGTATTAAAACCGATTTCTAATTTATTGCAGAAATAAAATCCATTCAAACACAAATTTACTACAGACTACAAAATAGGAAACAGTTGTTTCTGATTGTGTTAATAATAAATCATCTTTGTAAACTTGTCACAGCTAAACTCTTCTGCCAAACTCCATTGATTTTATCCTATAAATACATACATACTAAATCAACCTCATAACATACTCTCTTAAGCACAGCAGTTTTTTAAAACTTAAAAAACAATTTTTCTTCAGTGAAAATTAGAGCTGCTTGATCAGATTTAGTCATGAGTCCAAGCTTCACAATGCTGTGTGCTTTACTCATTGCTCTTGCCTTTCTCAATGGTATGTCATATATCTCTATACATCATATATAAGTGAGTAATATAATATACATATATATATATATTCTGCTACAAGAGAAGAAAAATCAACAAGTAGTGCGGTATGACAAGTTGAAATGCTGTCAAAATAATCTATAAAAAAAAAATATGAGAAATTTAAAAATCTCATTTACAGGAAAGGCATTCATTAACTTCCCATATGATGTCCGATTGGATTCGAATTTCCTCTGAATGAAAGTATTTGTATATCATTGAAATAGGTTTAGTTAAATATGTTTGTTGTAATTACATGTTCTATACATATATGAATATATTGGGTGATATTTGGACAGGTATAGAAGGAGAAGAAACTTGTGGGGGCATCTAATCTGCAGATAAATCAAGCACCGTTGGAGTGGCAAGGAATACCTACATACGGTGTGGAATTAGTGAACATGTGCAAGAGCGGCTGCAGTCTGTCTAACATTCATCTAAAGTGTGGTTGGTTCAGTTCCACCAACCTCGTCAACCCTAAAATCTTCAAACGCATCTCCTACGATGACTGCCTGGTCAACAATGGTCAACCATTACCTAGTGGAAACATTATTACTTTCAAATATTCAAATACTTTTAAGTACCCGCTTTCTGTTGCTTCCATGCACTGTGATTGATTCATTCTCTACTTATACTTTTTTTTTTTATATATTCGTTCGTCTATAACAATAATAATTGGATTACACTTATAGTTTGGTTTAATAATAACACTGCCTTTTTTTTTTTTCTTTTTGATAATCAAGAGTAAAAAATGATAGAGACAAAAATTGTTCTTCTATAAGCACTTATTTTTTAAATATAGAGCAGCTAAGCTTAAAATTTGACCCACTTATATTATCTACCAATGAAAAATGTCAAATCTCAAGATTGAAAAGTCTCTCTTTTTCCCTTTTGTTGTATGGAACAATTATACGTTTATTCATCTTCCACTAGGTTAGATGCAATTTTTTAGTTGCCCTCCGCAATCTTTCAATGATCAGCAATTCACAAACCTGATACTTGATAAGAACTTCTTTCTAAGTTTCTACCACCAATCATGTGGATTACTGTAAGTTTTCTGGCTTCCACGCCAGTTTCGTCTGTTGGTGGTTCTCTCATATTGATAACTGTATCCTTTTGATGGTCCTCTGAAAGGGCCGCTTCCATACGTTTCCTCTGACGCTCTCTCTTTTCTGATTTCTTCTTCAAAATCATACTCTGAACGCTACAAACAGAAAAATGGTATATCAATATAATGCACAACTTCAATGAATACAGACCCTTCTAAACCGCATGGGGGCATCAAATGTCATCTTGGTGCAGAACAATATAAGACTTTATTAGCGATATATATACTTAGAGATTCGGTGGGTTCAAATCTTTTTCATTCAATATATACTTTTACTAGGACCAGACTCCAGAGCTTCAGATGCTGCACAAGAAAAAGGGAAGATGACAGCTGTCACTTCTCCATAAACAGCATGTTCATAAAAAAAATGGTAGAACCAAACAGGTTCCAAAAAAATGGTTGCCTGCCAAGAAATTTTAAAGGTAAAATCACATGCCATGAACTACAAGCAAGTTAAACAAGGAAGAGTCAGTAAAATCATTAAGCACCCATTACACAGTGCTCAAACATAGAGTGCAATGATCAAGAAGAAATTTAAACTGAAGCCAACAGACAAGAATTGCCAAACCTTAGTGGTGTCCGAAAGTACTGCATATGCCTCTCCGATCATTTTAAAGATCCTGTCAGCATCCTTGTGGACCTCTTGTGCAATTTCCCTCCAGAGTTGTCCCTCATCCCCACTTACACTTCTTGCCAGGAATTGACCAGCCTTAAGAAAAAAAAACAAAAGTACTATGTGAGAAACCAAAACAAGAATTAATAGAAGTGAGAAAAGTGTGCAGATACATGGTGAATTTGTAGGGAAAAAAAATTAAGACCTTGTCTGGATGGTGTTTAAGTGCTGCTCTACGATATGCCTTTTTAATGTCAGAGGCTGTGTCAGATGTTTTAATTCCCCTGGCATCATCATTAGAAACATGAATAAACATCAGATTACAAGACAACTTCTGGACATAGCATGTTTGGTTGGAGGTAAAAAAATTCAAGATTGATAGGAACTTACAAAATAAGATACAAATCCAAAGGGTTTTCCTTTTTAGCTTCTTCCATTGCAGACAAACGCCGACAAGCTTGCTTTAATTCCTTTAAACTGTTAGCAGATTCAATAGTAGAGCCTGGTGATTTGACCTTGTCAGACTGATTTTCAAGAATATCAACAAGTCTTCGGAGGTCACTAGCAGCTTGTCCATAGTCTCTGATTATCTCATGTAATGTGGCCCTTCTAGAAACTGCCTGAAGAAGGGCAGGGCCAGTCGGGTGAAACAAAAAAATATATCAACATAAAGAATTAATAATACCACTGCAGCGAAGGTAACCAATAATACCATTTCTAAGAACATTAAAGCAAATAAAAGTAACACAATAATTATAAAACTACAATTTTGGAGAAACCTGTCCCCATTAAAAAAAATGCATAATTGTGCATAAGTTCGTCGAGATTCAGCCACAAAAATTGCACACACTACATTTATCCTTTAGTATTTTGAAATTTTCATGAGCAAAGAGATCTCAGTGTAAGAATGTGTTTTGTTTCCCTTTATATTTGTTCAAGGTAGAAGACAGACCGTCAAACTCATACTCATCTTTGTACTAAATCAGAAAAGCTAACTCATTAACTTCAACCCGAATTTTCTAATATTAAACCCGAAAGTAACTGCTAGCTTATGGGTGGTTGAAGACATAATCAATCAAAGAAAATGCAGATGATTATGACCTCTAAATTTTCACATATTCACTTCACAATTTAATTGGTGGAATTTTTTGATGATCACAAAAAGGAAAAGTCTCTGGCGCAGCTAACATGAAAGAACCATAACAAACAATTTTGTTTCGATAAGCCTTGAAGATAGTATTTAAGAGTCCTAAATCAAATAGTTGTCCTTTGCTCAATGCATGATCCACAGGGAATTAGTCTTAACATACAGATGATCGTGCAAGTTGTTTAACAACCCTTCCATTTGTGTGTCTAATGTATTCCTCTGGAAAGCACTAAACTTTAACTTGTCAATGAACAAAAATACTATGGATATCTTATTAATAGCTTAATTCAGCAGCGACATAACTGAAAAAATTGCAATCTGCGGGAAGAATATGCATCACCAAGTAATAAGTATGTTCAGAGTTACAAGTGCAAGCCAGGAAACTGTGATAAGAATGTTTAGATAATAAAATCAGGCAAACCTTTATATATTTTCCATCCAGAGCCATGGCAAGACTGCAATCTGCAATGGCATCAACAATCTGGCCTAAAGCTTGGTGTGCAGCAGCACGGTTACACAAGCAGATTGCCGTGAAAGGACGTGACTCAACATTTCTTGATAAAGCCACAGTATAATGCTCTATTGCGTGTGCATACCTTTGTGACCGTACTGCTTCATTCCCTGCATTCTGTTATGGGAAGAATAGAAAACATAGTTAATATCTTAAATAGGAAGAAGTCAATCATTCACGAAACTTAGAGATGAATATAAGAGTTGCTTACTGAAGAAAACGAGAGAAAAAATCAGGACTAAATAACATATCTTATGTAGCTTATAAAAGACAACTATATCCTATATGCTATGGATTTCCACTTAAGCATCAACAAATTATGTTCTGCCTCATTTTAATGGAAGTTTCTACACCTATAAAATTTCTAGCACGATACTATACTTCAACTTCAATACAATTAGGTGTATTCTTCCAACTTAGACATGATAGGACCAAACACTTTGGTCTGAGTTCAGGAAGAACAAAATATTTTAATCCAGACCGAAAATACCAGTTTTAATTTTAAACAATAGAAAAATACATGTTCGACATTATGATATCATGAATGAAGGACGATGATTATGAATATGATAAATCATCAATAAGAATAGTAATTGTATTTGTGCAGCTTTCATTTTGAACAAACATAAATTAAAATTGAATTAATAATTGAACATTGATTTAATTGAATCAGAATTTGAGATAATTTCAATTTAAAGAATAATGTAAAAGTTATGATTTTTTTTTCAAGTAAAAGAATATTCGAATTAAAAAATACCAAGGAGGTACCGCCCATATACAAAAAGATGTTACATGTCAATCAGTATATCAACAACCACTCCAATATCTTCTAAAGATAGTAAATTGTGATCCAAGAGTAAGTAGCCAAAATAGTATAACCATCTATCTCTAATATTTGTAAGAGTATTTTTAATGCCCTCAAAAGCATGATTATTCCTTTCTTTCCACAAAATCCAAAAAATAATGAGGGGGATAAAGCAAGCAGCTTTGTTATAAGAATGTAGACATTCTCATGCCAGAAGTTCTTTATGAATAGAGCCCGCCATTATCCAGTTTATACCAATCAAGCTGTAAATCATATACCATAAATCAGTAGAGAAAGGGCACCATAACAGAATATGGTTGCAGCTTTCAGCATTGCATTTGCAGAGGAAACACTGGTTGACCAAAGTTCTGACTCCTTTCATCAAATTATCCAAAGTCAGAATTTTCTCCCTATCCACTTCCCATGAAAAGGAAGCAATCCTGCGGGGAGCCTTTGTTTTCCATATAGATTTAAATGGAAATGGCAATTGCTGATCGGAAATGTTCCCGTCCCAAAAACCCGTAATCTTTTTACAGAAAGAATTGATGGAAAACTTGCCATTCTTACTTAATTTCCAGATGAGGGTGTCTAGAGAGTCTCCCAAATGAACACTGGCCATCATAGAGAGGAAATTCTCAAATTCCTCCAGTTATGATCTTATTATTTTATCTAGATAATTTAACTTTATCTAGATAATTTAATATTTATGGTTATGTAAATAATTGATTCTATTAGTTTTATTAATAAATAGATTGTTTACATATTTTAGTTTACTTAGATTTTAAACAGAAATTGATTTTGGTTTAAGCTGAATTGTGTCTGAAAAGAGTCCTGCTATCTGTTCTAGTCTATTCAAAATCTGGGCCAATACATACACACCCCTAAATCCAATTCTATAAGATGAAGCTATTCTTGAAGATAATGTTCACAACTAAATTTAGCAATAAACATTGCAGCACAAAGAAAAGTTGACATATTAAGTATTATACCCATGTTCAGGCTAATAAAGGACCACATAAATGCTCTGGATTAACTTGCACTAACATCTTAGTAAGAAACCTTAGCAAGAAAAAAGCACTTGTCACAACAGATGACATACCTTAGAGGATAGAAGTTCACGAATGGCAGCAGCTAATGATAGTGATGATTCCAAAATCCCACTCCCACGCCTGTAAAATTGAAAGATCAGTGTCAATAATCACAAGGTCACACAAGGTATTAGCTGTCCATTAAGAGAATGTGTATTACTTGTCATTTATAGATCCAACTTGCTCTTGCTTCTGAAGTAAATCAAGTGCCACCTCAAGCTTTCCCATATAAAAGTAGGCCTTGGATATATAGTGCGTCCTCCAAACCCTTGCTAAGGAATAATTGTCAGAATCAAAACCATCAGCAGATGGTAATGGGTTAAGGGAACTAACTGATGAAAATTTTGTTTCAGCAACATGGAGAGTCAGCTCACATAGCTTAACTACTTCTTCATACCTTCGCAACTGCAAGATGCCAACAAAGGTGCAACATTCAAAGAGTAAATGTGGCATAAATCAAATTATGTTAGAGGTCTCTACTTTCCTCTGTTCCAAATATTTTCTAATTTAACAAGCGTGGAAAAGAACAGACACGAAGGATTCTTCGGTCGAAAGAGAACATACGACAAAAAGAGCCTCTGCTTTCATTTGTAATAATTTCTCTGAACATGAACTAATTGTTAAAGCCTCAGCAATTTTTTCCAAGGCACTGAGTGTTGCATCAGATGTTTTCTGTTCCAAAAGTTTGGTGGCGTGGGTTGTACACTCAACTACTCTCTGCAGGTGAAAAGGATCAAAAAACCAGTCACCAACCCAACAATGAAGAAACGTCTTTGAAGAGTGGAAGTTTTTAGTAGTTTGAAGAGGAAACCTAAATGCCAATACTAGTAATGCATTAAACACCAAGCAAATAACTAGTAAGATTCAAGATTCTACAAATTGAAAATGAAGAATTTTTCACAAACAAATAGGTTATGTACAAAATTGACTTTGGGACTGTAAAGATATACAAGCATTCTATAAGTACAGTTCATCCACATAAGATATTGCCAAAGAACAAAGGTTAGTCAGAAGCTGCTCTTGTAGTAAGAAAACAGTAATAAATTGATTCATGTCCATATATGATCGATTGTATATAGGGAATTAGGAATTTAATAAATGCGCAAAAGATGATTGAGTACATTAGACATTCCTTATACATAATATTCACATTAGGAAATCATATTTCTCTCTTAAATAAATTTCCAATCTTTCTATCAAAATATCCAAAGCACTTCCCATCTTGTGTTTCATAACAAAAGGAACCAATTCAATATAAATAAGAAATACGTGAAATAAACGTGATAAATGGTAGAATATATCTCAATCAAGGTTCTTTTGGGAATTTTTTTAAATAATTCTTTTGAAATATTTACTCGCGATTTGCAACCGACCAGGCATTATTTAGCCAGAAAGAGTTGGATAAGAAAAGTTTTTTGAATTCAAGCTATATCAGGTATATAAGAAATTCTATTTATTCTCTCTCGTTAACTCTTCTAATCTTTTTTCCTCCTTATAATAACTTAATTGCAAGGAAAAGCATCAAGCCATTTTTGTCCTTTTAGTGAACCATTAGCAGCTTCGCATGGAATGCATACCTGAGCTTCCTGCAAGCCATTAGCAGCTTCTATAGTAGTTCTGCGATCCAAACACACATCACCGCCAGATTTTAGGCATTTATGGAAATACTGCAGTGCATTTTCAACTTCCCCCAGCACAAGATGACAGCTGAAAAGAAAAGCTCAAGATATAAAACAACAAAATAATTTAATAGGAAATATAACATATACAGGCAGGTTATATTATAACACATGCAGAGATCAATTACTGCCACTTCCTCAGATGATTTTTCAGCTTTTAACCTCAGTAATTTCTTGCACTCAAAACAATCTGCAGCACTAGTAGTATTCTTTTTGAGAATTCATCAAGAACATGTCATGGAAATTTTTCCACTCCATAAAGTGATTAACTTGATAGCATTGAATAGAAAACTGCAATCAATCAATTAAATGGCTCAAGCATGTGTGACCTTTAGGCAGATGGCCAAGAATATTGATTTCAAGCAAAAGAGACAATTTGACTTTTCTTGATAGGAGCAACCAGTAATTATGTGGAGTTGTATAGATATCATTTATGATCTTCAAGGTCCTTATTCTCCAAAAAAAAATTGAAAAAAATTGAAAAAAAAAAACTGATTTACAAATTCCTTACTAAAAAGAAGAAAAAAAAAAGAGAAAGGATTTCTGAGACCCCTCACTAGGTCAAAAAAAGAAGCCCTAAGTAGTATAAAATTTAAATAAGCATATGACCATCTGATTTTCTTTCCATCTTTCTTTCTAAATTCAAAACCCAAACTCATGGACAACTTCCAGAATAACTAAAGGAAACAGAAATAAATAGATGATGCATGGGGTATAAGTTGTTATAATTAATGAAAACAGAAGGAAACAGATAATACAATAGGACATAAGTAGGTTCCAAACAGCATGCCACACAACAGCACCTATTAATCAAACAATAAAATTAGTCTAATCATCCATAAACTAACGCATAACAGAACTTTACTTTGCAGCTCTCAAGTAAGCTTTAAGAAAGCTAGGATCCAGTGTCACAGCTGTCATACAGTCTCCTAAAGCTTCCCTCAGCCTTCCAAGAGATATTAGTGTTGCTGCACGATTGCTGTAGCACAGCACAAGAGGCTTAATAGAACAACCCAAACTCTCACTAGAAGGTACAGCATTGATTCCATGCGTGTAATAAACCTCAGCTTGAGCCAGATTGCCGTTTCTATAGGCTTGATTACCCCTGTTGAAAAAGAAGATTGCTACATAAGTGAGGAACCACTTATATTAATTACTGGACGACAGACAGTAAGTGAAACCTGAATATATAACTTAGATTGCTAAACAATTATATTACAGTACCGGAGTCGCCAAGTCTCACAAGTTTCTGAAATCATAGATATCACAGTAGACCCTTGCTCGACTTTTACACCTGCTTCAGATTTATTTCCAATTTCACTTTGGGAAGTAGATTTATCTTCCTTCTGACACTCACCAGAGTCCAACACACTGGAACTAGGCGAAGAATGAGCAGTTGACGAGGTAGGCTTATCATTTTGACTTGGCATAGCTTTTACTGAACTGTTACGAAGTTTCGTCCTAGTTTTCTTTTGGGAGCGATGCTTTCTCGAAGATATGCTACCTTTCACAGACGACGATGAAGAAAAGATAAAACTTTTCTTGTCTTCAGAACCCATAGCAAAACAAAATTGCATTGTACAATTTCCTCTTTCCCTCTGCGCGACAAAGGGATCTTCATCTTCAGCTGCAGCAACGCCACCATCACTACTGGAGCATGAAGTTTGAGATCCAAAGCCAAACGTTTCCAACTTACAATCACCACTTGAAAACTTTTCATAGCTAGGACTCTTCTCATTTGGCTTGCTACATCTCTGATCAGGAGATGCTTTTGAAAATTGATTAGCTGCTGCAGTTTCCTGATATGGAGAAAAATCCATGGGTGAGCAATATCCTGGAGAGTTTGGGTTTTCCTGGGAATCTTCTTCCTTCACTACATTATCTTTTTGCAACCGCTGCTTATCTCGGGCAGATTGCTTTGATTTTCCTTTCATTTTCTTCAATTTTCTGTCCTTGGGTAAAGGACCCCGTCCAGTGAATTCCAGTTTTCTACTCATTGCGACAAATAGACTGGCTTTAAAGGAATTAGGATCCCATTGAGGTGTGTTAAAATTAGTAAACGGCACCCCTGATACTTCTGGAGTGCTTGTTGAAATATTTTCATTATTCTTTCCAATTCCATCAGTGGATGCTGCTCCAGAGATACTACTGTTTTCCTGCAAGCTGAGACCATGTGATGAAACTGATGGTACAGCAGCTCTGTTCTGGCGTACATCTTTCTCTACTCCTTGAAAAAACTGGCCCAAATTGGAACTCTTCCCCACACCAACCTGAAATTCAAATAGTTTTGAACTAGAATTTCCAATTCCAGAACTATCCCTATTGCAAGTAGTATGAAATGTCATATGGTCTACATTCCTAGTATTAGCATTATCCTTGAAAGCTGTCTTAAATGTACAAGCAGTATATTCTGATTCATGATCATGACTAGTTTCTAAATTTTCATTAGATGAGTTAAAATTCTTTTTATCACTAATGAACACAAATGCAGGATTAACATTGACGTTATTTAAATCATCACTTGCTTCAGCACGAGGAAGATTCTGAAAATTCTCACTGTTTACCTCCGTCTCATGTGTGAGCTTTGATGCCACACACTCATTGACAATGGAGGTCTTACTAACACTACTACCAAATACAAAAACACCCTCATCTCCCACAGGTCGAAACTTAATTTCAGCATCTTCTGCCTTTCTCTTATCACTACCGCCAAATATAGAAACAC